TTCTACTGGTTTAGCTAGAGCAGCTTTGCTCCTTCAGATTTTGAGTCCTGGGCCATGGAACTAATTCAGAACATGCAATATCCTGACTAGCCAATGGGGATGGGGAAGTTTAGCAGTATAGTAAAAGTGTTACCTGTATATTTTTGGATTGAATTCAAGATGCTGGTTTAACCTCTGAAGTCCTACTAGTTCACTCTACATTTACCTTCGAGACCATCTTAGCCTGTCCTCTGTATTCCAGAAACTGCCCTGAAGGTCTGCAACCTGCATTAAGGGAAAGAGCTAAAGGACCCATAGGTGCTCTGCTTCAGTGGCAGTCTCCCATTATGAAACTTGTTCTATGAATTTTATGAGCCCTTCCCCCCTCCCCTCATTTTGTAAGGCAGTAAAGTCTATCTTGTGGATGTTTAAGAGACTACACTTGACTAAATGTTACATAATTTGGATTAACTGCATTTGGATTCTATTGTGAGTTGTAATTTTTGTTTTTATAGTAAACTGCCCAGATTTACAGCATATAACTGGGTGGTACACAAATTGGATTAAAATTATACAATAAAAATAGAACTATTGTATTTTTGTCTTGTAGGGGTGCTTGTAATACAAATCATAATGAAAATGTAGGAAGTTGACTTATTGAGCTTTTGAATTTATCAGATGTGGGGGTGGGTTGGCTATTTTGATGTGAGCATTGTAGATAGAGCAGAATAGTACATTGAGCCTGATTATTTTATAATGTGGCAATGGTCTCCCTCAATCTGGAAAGATGGACTGAAAGAGACTTTACAGGTAAGAAAAGTAAGAGCAAGGCTAAGAAGTCTGAAGCATATTCTGTGATCCTCGTTTTGCTGCAAGAATTTTTCTGGTAAGGAATGTTTAAAACTAGTAATTGCATAAAGATAAATGTGTGACTGAATATGAATGGATTTATAATTTATTGTGGTTCATTTGTTTCTCTGTATTACAATGCTCCTCAAGGAAGTCGGTTATTTTTCAACTCTTTATATTTAATGATAATGGTTATTTAACCAATATATCTGTATGTACGATAAATAGTAAACCAGTTAGCTTCAATTTTGTGTACGCCCATCCCATTGAAAAAACAGAATAAAATTCATTAGAATCTTTGCTTTGTATATAAACATTGCGTTAATCTCTTTTGGTTTAATGTTTGTGGTGGATATCATTCATTACATTTTCATGTTGCCCCAAATGTGCCTCAAAATGTTGTGGTAAGGGATATTCTATCTAGAAAACAGTTTCATTATTTTATTTTATTTATTTCCTTCCTTCCTTCCTCCCTCCCTCCCTCCCTCCGTCCCTTCCTTCCTTCCATCTGATTTTCTTCTTTCTTCTTGTTTTTAAGAATAAGGCTGATACTTTACATTGATACACTCAAAATTACTTTCACTGAGAACAGCTTAATATCTTTCAATTATTAGTTTAAAGATAATTAATCCTCATAGTGAGGATCTATGAGAATGCATCATCCAAACAAGAGAATGTATTGCTACTCCTGCCATTCTTACTTGAGGATAGTGTTATAGGAACAATAATAGTATAACAAACTTGGAAGGGACCTTCAAGGTCTTCTAGTCCAATCTCCTGCTCTAAATTATGGAAACCTACTAATTAATTTTTAGCTCAGTCATAACTTTCTTCTTCTGCATTTGTTACAATATATGCTAATCTTCTTGCTTCTTATTTGAATTTATAAGTTAGTTATTGAACAATAACAACAACAAATACTTAGTGACCTGTTGCCATCTCATAAAAGCCATCAGAAAATAGAAATAGTCTATTTGCTGTTCTTTCTCTCTTTCTCTCCTTCCCTCCCTCTCTCATCCCCTTTATGGTCATTTACTGCCAATTCCCTATCTGTAAATGGAATAAGGAAACAAATAATATTTTTAGAACTTATTTTTGGACAGACCACCTGCACTGCTGTCTATATTATTAAATTTTGTTGCTGTGGCAACTTTGATGATATAACTGAAAAAGGTGATGCTGAGCAGAAATTTACAAGAGGTAATTGTGGCTGACAAACAGTTCTTTTCTCACTGCAGATGTCTCCCAAATAACAAAAACAAAAGGCATTAAAAAAAAACAACAAAACTAGATAACAAAGAAGGAAGAGGTGATAAATAAATTTAAGATGATTTTCAATAATTGCATTGGAAATTTATTCCAAAAATAGCTAAAAAGGCTTAGAAGACAGGATAATCCCTTCTCTTGCAAGCTCCTCTGAGCTACTCAGAGTTTTGATATCTGAATGTCACTTGTTTTACATACAGTTGGACTCTAGAAAGTGAAGTAGTACCAATACAGTGTTTACTCCACCCAATATATCATTTAGAGAAAACCTTAATCCTTTAATCTAACAGAACTGGCTAAAAGTTTCCCATCCTAAAAAACAAATGTATGAGACCTGTGGACATCACGAAACAGGCAGATATGAAATTATTTGGCTACATTAAAAAAAAATTGCAATTGGCTATCATTTCTTTGGCTTGCCTATTGTAATTATAGGATCAGACTAGTCACTCCTTCCATTGGGTTTTGTGCCTGATCTAAAAAGCAAAATGGTTGTACACAGCAGAAAGATTGAAATTTTGTCACATTTAACTAGTTGTTAAATGTTTTCATAGAATGTACCTATGAAGTACTTAACATTAGTACATTTTTAATAGAACATCAGCAAGGAAAAAATAAGATAACTTGCTGGTCATATTTATTACATTTATGCTATATGATTCTTCATAATACAGGGTAATTTGTTCAGACTGAGTGTATCCCAACTGACTCTACTCAAATTTCTAATAGTTTCTTTGTATTTTGAAATTTTAGAAATATATGTAGAATTATTAAAGTCCATACAATTATGGGAAGAAATAATAATAGAATAAAACAATCCAGATCTACGTTTTAATTTTCAGTCTGCATTCATTCCAAAAGCTGTACTTTCACTGCTTAGATATGGATTGCTGCAGTTGAAATGGCTAGTTATATAGAGCAGGGGTCATCAACCTTTCGGACCTCAGGGACCACTAAATTCATAATTTTAAATCCCACAGACCACTAATATGAATTGGTGACGGGATGGGGTCCTTCAGGCACTTAACTTGGCCACCTGTTAGCGGAGAGGGTCAACCCTAGCTTTGCTGTCCATTGCAGCTAGGAATCTCAAATATGGCCAAGAATTAATGTTTGTATTGTGGCCAGCCTGGGCACTAGATCAGTCCTCTGCAAACTCCGTCTCTCAAGGAGCCCGGCCAAAGTTTTGTGCACCGCTCACTGAAGTACCTGGACTCCCAGTGAGGGAGGGAAGGGCTGGAGTACTAAACAGGGGCCAAGCTAAGGGCCTGAAGGACCCCATCCCATCAGTGAGCTGAATTAATTGCTTCAGTGGGCCGGTATCTGGCCTAGGGGCCGTAGTTTGAGGATCCCTAATTTAGTGCAATATTAAAAAATGCAAAAATGCAAAGATTTTTCTGCGGACCACCAAAATTTTTCTTATGGACCACCAGTGGTCCACGGACCACCAGTTGGTGACCACTGATATAGAGGACACTTACATAGAGGAACAGAAATTGAGTCACAGTTTCTGAAGCAACTTAATCAGATCAACCAACTCTGATGAACTAGAATGAGTATATGTTTCATCACATACTACATTGTCTTTTATTATTATCCTAACATCACAATTAATACACATCGAAGGCAAGGACATTTGCTCCATGAACAACATGGATTGTTTTGAAATTTTTGCAAGGAGATATTGGAATGTCTAATTATAATATTAGAATACTGTATATATTAGCTGAATACAGACTTATAGCAAGTAACCATCCATCTTGGAATTTAGTTGGCAATAATGCTACTCTCATCGTCTCAATCCAAATAGTTTGTTGAATGAGAATGTTGCCATACCATAGAACCACCATTGAAGTTCAATTTACCACTAACTCCCAGTGTATCATTACAGTAGAATCTGCATGCTGCAGTGTAAGCCTTTAAACTTCAATTAATGTTATTTGCATATTCCTGCACCATAAGAGCTTTAGTTTTATTTTTGTAGTTGGAACTCATTTATGCACACCACAATATACATGGTTTTGCTTTTACCATAAACAATATTTTTTTTTCTCTAAGGGCGCTGAATTTATAAATGTACATTTATTGGGAAAGAAAACTAAAAAGTGTTGCATATCCAATTTTGCCTTTAGGAGCATTGTTTACCAGAGAATTTGTAGAAAATATTTAAGTGGAAATTAGGTCTGCAAAAATACTTCAGTAATAAAACAGAAGGAGAAATCTGGAAGGATGATGGCACCTGTTGCAAGGCATAAAGTGAATACAATTGTATTGATGTGGTTTATGTTTGATCTGATGTGAAGTCTTGCTTGCTGAATACAACCTGGTATAAGTTATCAGGTGTAATAGAAGATTCATTGATAACAAAATTAAGCAATGACATGTTAGTTTCTGTGATAAACTTTAATCTAAGAATGATAAGAGTGCCTTTATGGCAATAGTGTTTAAGATGTTTGATTGGAACCAAGGAGGTCCAGATTCAAATTCATCATTAACCATGTAAACTCACTTAGCCAGTGAGTGTTGATTAGCCAATCACCTCTTCTCAACCAAGCCTACCTCACAAGACTTGTGTAAGCATAAAATGAAAGAAGATTCTTACAAAAGCCAGCTTGAGCTCTGGGAAGAAAGGTAAGATACCGATCTAGTAGAAGAACACATAAATACTTTCTATACAGAAAAAGGACAACAATAAGAAAATAATAATAACCTCCTTCAGTTTTAATTAGAACAAATGCGCAAGTTTATTAGATATCTAAGTGTGCGTCTTTCTGCCCTCTCTGAATTAAGTAGTTTCTCCGTATTCACACCAAGGTGATTTCAGTGGTGTTTTTTCCAACCAAGCAAAATGTTGCTATGCATTTGATGTGATTTTAACACTTGCTTCTACTTGCTGCTGTCTCCAGGTAAAGGACCAGAAACCCTTTATGCTGGGCAAAAACTCAATGATAATGAGTGGCACACAGTCCGAGTGGTACGCCGAGGAAAGAGTCTCAAACTTACAGTTGATGATGATGTTGCCGAAGGTGAGTGGGTTCATCTCTATTTACTAAATGTGACTCCTTTGCATTTGAACTGACATCCCATAATATGAGACAGAATTCTGTGAGATATATCTGAAGAATGAAGGACATAAACAAAGTGGATCACACTATAAACTATGTGGCACAGATGCAACCTCAGCTACCGATTTCAGCGCCATGAAGAACGAGGTTAGCCAGGTAAGCACTTGACTCAGACCAAAGTCTGGAACGCTGTGTAAAGGATGAAGGGAATAAGAGAGGATTCTAGGCTCTTCTGTTTATATTCATACTTTATTCCTGTAAAGAATGAATGGCAATCAATGCTGACAATAACTGCTTCTTACTATGTTAAGTTCTACATTCCTTTCTACTTCATATCTGTAATCATCTCCTGTGAAATTCTGTGGACATTCCCAGTGCAAGGAAAGAAATCAGGAACATATTCTATAGGGGTGGAGGTTTTTTTTTAGAATCTTGAAAGAATTCAAGAAAAGCTGATTAAAAGTTTGCAAAGATCCTCTGCTTTACTAGTCTAGAACAGAAGTGCAAAAATTCCAGATCCGGTCCAGATGCAAGCTGGCAGTGAGTTGGATGTGGCCCATAGTAGCTACTATGTCCAAGTCATTTCCTATGCATTCTCTACTGCACCACTGCACCACTTTCCCAAATGTTACCCTTTCTTTCCTTTCCTTTTCTATCTTTTCTCCACTTTCCTTTCCTTTTCTATCTTTTCTCCACTTTCTCTTTTTGTGTTCACTGCATTACTTCTTGCAGGTAATCACATATTTCTCTCTCACCCTGCCTTTCCATTCAACCCCTAATTTAAGAAGCTTTCTTTCTTTCTTTCTTTCTTTCTTTCTTTCTTTCTTTCTTTCTTTCTTTCCTTCCTTCCTTCCTTCCTTCCCTCCCTCCCTCCCTCCCTCCCTCCCTCTTCCTTCCTTCCTTCCTTCCTTCCTTCCCTCCCTCCCTCCCTCCCTCCCTCCCTCCCTCTCTCTCTCTCTCTCTCTCTCAACACTGTAGTATAAATGGATAATATAAAAGCTAATTTAAATTTTTAAAAAGTGACCCACCACTTTTAGGCTATGGCCCTACTAAAAAGCTAAATATGACCCTCAAACTGACACCATTTTGTATATAATGATATAAAATATACAATAAAGGTAGAATCAGTGTTATGGTGAAGAAGTTGAAAACAATCATGTAGTTCTATGTGCTCATGGACTTAAATGTACATATCAAGACTGTTAATTTATAAGCTCAAAATATTCTATATTCTATTTTGAGCTGCTTAAAATATGTACTTACAGTATATTCTAGCACATTTTATTATTTATTTGTTTATTTGTTCCTTTCTTTATTTCTATCCTGCCTTTACTATTTCTATAAATAATTCAAGGCAGCAAACATACCTAATGCTCCTTCTTACTCCTGTTTTCCCCAAAACAACAACCCTGTGAGGTGGGTTTGGCTAAGAGAAAGCCCAAAGTCACCTGGCCAGATGTCAAGAATACATTTTCCCAGGAGAAATTAAATAATGATCTGACTGTAAATTTAGTAGAAAAAGTAAGCAAAGTTGAGGGGAAAAAATAAAAATGTATGCATTGCCTTTTTAAAAAAGGAAAATCTTACAAATTAATGACAACTCAATCTATTTTTGATATTTACCACCATTTAGTATACTCATTACAGATTTCCCAAACAATATTTTTTTATGCTTCTATGAATAATTTATCAGTGCTAAGAAAGAAGCAGTTCTAGGGCTCAGCCACATGATGGCATATGTTACTTTATCTACAACAAAGCTTTTGAGAAGCCCAGTTTTGATAACATTAAGTTCATACATCCAAATGTGAAATCCAAAACCACTTTAATGACTCTTACTTATTAAAGCATACAATATAGCATCATGCCCACCGAGTTACAAATTAGCACTTAAGTTTAACCCTGGAGATCATCTACATGCCTACCGATTAATATACACGTAAAAGAATGGGTGAATGCTTTTGTATGTTGCAAGTAACAATGTGAACTATATGCCTGTACATTTGTGTAAATAAGGAAAAAAATAATTTAATTAGATTTTTTTTCTGGAAGCAAATAATTAATGACCGTTATAGAATCACACCATGGTGAAATGGAGAGGTAATTTGCTACTTGAAGTTAATGAGGCTGTTCTTATTCACTCTCTTCTTCTGCCTTACCCCCTGCCACATTGTTGAGCAAATGATAACCAAAATAACGTCAGACAGTAGGGTGAAACTGTTTTTTTTTCCTGTGCAAAGCAGCAGGATGACCACATTATCATTTTTATGACTTTGTCCTCATTTTTCTTTTCCTTCTTCTGCCACCCTTGCCCTTGACAATTTAATGGACAATTCTCAAAGTGGAAAAAACAAGTATTCCAAAAATATTTTGGAATTGCTTGTACATGGAAGATCCAATTCAATAAACTGATAAGTCAATTTAGCACTTAATGGAGGAAAAACCTCCATTCAACAACCCAAACTATGCTTTAATATTGGAAGGAATCAAGATGGGGAAATTATTCATATCCGAGAAACTTTTTTTTTTTTTTAATTTGGATACCTTATCATTTGATTTTGGCTAGAGTGGTGTAAAGTCTTTTTTCCTCAGCTGACACTGTCTTTGGGCAATCCAGCCATTATTTTGTAATTTGAAAAATCCAGGTTCTCTGTAATTTAGGGACTGGCAGCATTTCAATCAGTTTGACAACCTACCACCATGACATTGTGGGTTTTGACTGGACTCTACAGTGTCTTGCAGCTGACTGACTGATTTCCTTTTCTTCTTCAGAACAAACTAATGAAACAAGGCAAAGAGATAGGGCCTAGCCTGACAACTAAAACCCATATTTTGGGGGGTTAGTTGAAAAAAATGCAGGTTGGCTCTGGCTCTTCTTAATAGTTATCATTAAAACTTTGCAAATATCAGCTCAGAGATTTTGAGTGATGATTTTGAGAGCTGGCCACATGGAAGTGTTCTTAGAGTAGGTTTTAGGTTTTATTAAATTTGTATACCGCCCTACTCCCGAAGGACTCAGGGCGGTGAACAGGCACAGGATAAAATACAGAAATACAAAAGTTAAAAACAATTTAAAACCAAATTAAATAATTTGGCCCACGACAATTAAAATCCCAATAAATTTAAAACAAATTAAAATTTCAATTTAAAATTTAAAAGAAAGGGGAGAAAAATTAGGCCAGGCAGGCTTGCTGGAATAAGAGGGTCTTAAGAGCACGGCGGAAGGTGCGCAGATCCGGGATCGTCCGTATCTCCCGGGGGGACCTCCTTCCAGATAGTGGGTGCCCCCACAGAGAAGGCCCTTCCCCTGGGGGCCGCCAGTCGACACTGCTTGGCTGACGCCACCCGGAGGAGCCCCTCTCTATGAGAGCGTACCGGCCGGTGGGAGGCTATTTGTGGTAGTAGGCGGTCCCGTAAATAACCAGGTCCTAAGCCATGGAGCGCTTTAAAGGTGGTAACCAAAACCTTGAAGCACACACAGAAGACCACCGGGAGCCAGTGCAGCTTGCGCAGGAGAGGTAGTGAACTCTCTACAGTATTAGCCTCATAAGCAATCTGAAAGGCTGCTCAGACTAAGAGATTGTAACTGAAACAAGATTATCTAGTTAGTTCTATTGGTTTTAAACTTGTACCTTCTTAGCTCAAGTTCATCTTTGAGCTAAGCAGTTATCAGATAGATTGATACTATTTGAGAAATGCTGAGAATTCCCAAACATCTTTGTAAACACTATTTGGAAGTGTTTTTGGAGAGTGTTTTTCTAAGCGTGCTATGCCAGCAAATCTGGAGAGTGACATAGTGGGCAACAAATCATAAGAGGCCAATCTACCTTCCAGTACAAAAAAGGAGGCTTCATAAAGTGTGCAAACTATGATACAATATCCTTAATTTCAATACTAGTAAAATAAACTAGCACAGATTAGAGCCATACATAGAAGAATGATGCCAGATGTTCAAGCCTTCAGAAAAGGCTGAGGAACAAGATATTATTGCTGATGCACACTGGATGACTGAAAATGCCAATGAATACCAAAAAGAACTCGGTATGTGTGTCATTTGTTTGTGTTGATCACATCCGGCTGTGGAATGTACCGAGAAAAATGGGAATCTCAGAACATCTCATTGTCCATATTAGAAACCTATACACAGTTCAGGTAGCCACAGACAGACTGAACATAATGAAACAGATTGGCTCCAATTTGGCAAAGGAGTGAAATGTCTGCAAGAAAACAAGCAAGCTCAGAGAGCACCAAGGACTCTTCATGAAACAAGACACACTTTATATACTCCTCCCTTATTTATTTAACCAGTATGAAGGACATATGCTGTGGGAAGCTGGATTTGAAGGAAGTTGACTGTGGTTTTTAAAACTGGACAATACACACACACACACACACACACACACAAACACGCACACATAATCTGCACTTTGCTGATGACGTTAATCTAATTAATTAATTAATAGCTGCAAATGCAAAGAATCTGCAAAGTCAAATAAAAGTCAAAAACCATAATGAAAAAAAATGGAACTAAATATAATGAAGATCAAACTAAAGACAAGGTACAATAACCAGGCTTGGAATTGACAATGAAGATATCAAAGTGGAAGATAGTTTCTGCCCTTTAGGATCAACCAACAGCAGGAGAGGAACAAGCAATCAAGAAATACATCACAAAGATCCCTAATAGATTTTTTGCATAAAAGTGAAAAAAATGAACTTGTGATTTATAGTTTTGATTAGACAGGATAGATTACAGAAATAAGAGTGTCACAGTGTAACTAGAGAGAGAGAGGTGAAAATATAATTGTATTTGTAACTGCTGTAAAAAAACACTGAAAACTACTTCTTTATATCTTTATATAGGTTTTAGTCTCTTTTTCTTTCTTCTACTTTTTTTCTTATAGCACTTCAGCTTTTCCTTTTATTTTGCTTTCCTTTTTGTTTTCTCTGCTCTATTTACTTTGTAGTTGTTGTTATTATTTCTGTTAAAACTTTCAAAAAATGTAAATAATATGTAAAGAAACACATAAGTCACAAGTAGCATTTGATAGAGCAGATATGAAGGCCATGCAAAAGATATTCAGAGGCTAACATCTATCTCTGCTAAGAAAGATCAGAAAAATGCAAGATCTGTAGAAGTAAAAGTAGAACTTTGAAGAAGCAAGAAAACAGATTGGAACAATGGTGTTGTAGAGAACTGCTGAGAATACTATGGATAGCCACAAAAACAAACAGATGAATTGATCAGTGACCAAATCAATCTAAAGTTCTCACTTGAGGCAAAAATGATCAGGCTCAAATATTTATTTATTTATTTATTTATTTATTTATTTATTTATTTATAATTGAATTTATATACCACCCTACTCCCGAAGGACTCAGGGCAGTGAACAGCCAAAAGATAAAATACACATAATACAAACTTTAAGAACAATTAAAAAATATATTAAATAATTTGGCCCAAAACAAATTTAAAACACCCCTATTTTAAAACAAATTTAAAATTACCAGTTAAAAGGGAAGTTAGGCCAGACCAGCCTGCTGAAATAAAAATGTCTTGAGTACACGGCGGAAAGTGCGCAAATCCAGGATCCCCCGTATCTCCGGGGGGAGCTCGTTCCAGATGGCAAGTGCCCCCACAGAGAAGGTTCTCCCCCAGTCGACACTGTTTGACCGACAGCACCCTGAGGAGCCCCTCTCTATGGGAGCGCACTGGTCGGTGAGAGGCTACTGGTGGCAGAGGCAGTCTCGTAGATACCCCAGTCCTAAGCCACGGAGCACTCTAAAGGTGGTAATCAAAACCTTGAAGCGCACCCAGAAGACCACCGGGAGCCAGTGCAGCTCACGCAGGAGAGGAGTCACATAGGAGCGCCACGTCGCTCCCATAACCACCCATGCAGCCGCATTCTGGACCAGCTGGAGCCTCCGGGTGCTCTTCAAGGGGAGCCCCATGTAGAGAGCATTACAGTAGTCCAGGCGGGAAGTGACGACGGCGTGAGTGACCGTACGTAAGGAGTCCCGATCCAGAAAGGGACGCAACTGGCGGATCAGGCGGACCTGATAAAAAGTCCTCCCGGCCACAGCCATCAAATGCTCTTCTAAAGACAGCCGTGAGTCCAGGAGGACTCCCAAGTTGCGAGCCCTCTCCGTGGGGTCCAATGACTCGCCCCCAGTGATGGCACCAACTGACTATATCGGGACATCGGAAATCACAGTCACTTGGTCTCGGATGGGTTGAGCCTGAGTCTGTTTTTCCCCATCCAGATCCGTACAGCCTCCAGGCACTGGGACATCACTTCAAGGGCATCATTGGGGTGATCCGGGGTGGAGATGTACAGCTGAGTGTCATCAGCGTACTGATGGTACTTCACCCTGAAACCATGGATGATCTCACCCAGTGGCTTCACATAAATGTTGAACAGAAGGGGCGAGAGGACTGACCCCTGTGGCACCCCACATACAAGGCGCCTCGGGGTCGACCTCTGCCCCCCTGCCAACACAGACTGCAACCGGTCAGAGAGAAAGGAGGAGAACCACCTCCTAACTCTTCCAACTGGTGCAGCATGATACCATGGTCGATGGTATCAAAAGCCGCTGAGAGATCTAATAGGACCAGGACAGAGGAACAACCCCTGTCCCGAGCCCTCCAGAGATCATCAACCAATGCGACCAATGCTGTTTCCGTGATGTACCCAGGCCTGAAGCCCGACTGGAACAGATCTAGATAAACTGTTTCATCCAGGTACTGGGGAAGCTGTCGCGCTACCACACTCTCAACAACCTTCGCAACAAAGCGAAGGTTGAAGACTGGACGATAATTAGCCAACACTGCCAGGTCCAGGGAAGGCTTCTTGAGGAGAGCCCTCACCACCGCCTCTTTCAAGGTGGCGGGGAAGACACCCTCACTCAAGGAAGCATTAATAATTCCCTGGAGCCAGCCTCCTGTAACCTCCCGAGAGGCCAGCACCAACCTGGAGGGACACGGGTCCAATAAACATGTGGCTGCGTTCAGTCTACCCAGTATCCTGTCCACATCTTCAGGAGTCACAGGATCAAACTCTTCCCAGATAATATTCTCAAGACCTGCCTCCATCATCCCTCCTGAATCTACCCAGTCAGAGTCCAAGTCTTCCCGAATCTTCCCGAATCTGAATTTTGTCATACAGATACAGATAAATTATCCTGCTTCAGACCCATTATGCAAAAACTTAGTTCTCCAAGAAGACTCTAATGGTAAGAAAGGTAGAAAAAAGAGGATAACCAGCAACAATAATACAACAGTGGCAATAGGGACTCTGTTGGAAGATGTGAAGGACCAGATTAGAGACAAATCATCATGGAGAAAATCTAGGTGCTCGCTAAGAGTCGACACTGACTTGATGCACATAATGAATCCATCATCAATCAATCAAAAGTTTGTATTAAATTTGACATTGCTGATCTGTAAGTAGAAATTTATTCATTTTATTCACTTGATTAAATAATTTGTGTAACCATCGATCACAACAGTGACTTTGTTGTACAAGGATTAAAACATGAACCACAGCATATACAATCCTTGGTCCTAAAGAATAAAAGAATGACCACAATCACAAAAGCCAGAAGCAGAGATCATCTAAGCTCCTAATGCAAACATCAAGGGAAACAGCTAAGTCTCCAGAGCCTTACAAATGGCTTACAGAGTTGGGGCCATCCAGACCTCGGGGGTGGGGGTGGGAATCCTGTTCCGTAAGACAGGTGCTGCTACATAAATGAAAAACACTGGAGGGCTTGATGAAAATTTAAAGCCGAACCTCCAGCTTAGTGTTAGAAGAAAGACCCAAGACTAATGTACCTCCATCTTCCCTGAGTCTTCACACTGCCCGGTTTTGGGTCAACGTTTGGGGCTCAGGACCTCAGACAGCACCCCGGTATCTGGGGAGCTGGTGAGATTTTTAAAGGAGATTCAGGTTAATGTCAGGATTCCAAATAACACCCCCAACGAAAGAAAATTCCGATGCTTGAGTTTCCTCAAAGTTACATTTTATTAGAGGAGTCATATTGGCACATCTGGGAAAACCCGAATTTGAAAACTTCTAGGTTTTCCCCACCCAAAAGAAAGTTCAAGTCCCTGCCCAACACCCACAAGTCCATCACATGGTCCAATCAAAGCACAGTCCCAACTGGAGGTGCCTCCCAGTTCCAGTCTTCCAGGTGCAGGGCAAGATGTCCTTGAACCTCTGAGAAAGGAATGCTATTATATCACCCATGCTCTATGCAATCCCCTCTCCCAATTTCCCACAGTAGTAAATGTGGCAGGTCTGAAGGCCCAATAGAAAAGATGGCCTAACTTCTGCTTTCATTTCCTATCATAGACATAACAGAAACTTTTTCATTCTGCTTGAATTTAGAAACTTCTTGCCATATTGTCCAACCCAAACTATGTTAAGACTCAGCATTAAGATTAAATGTATGTTTGGTACAAACAGCTAATTTCAAAGCATATTTATTTTTGTTAATTATAATTAAGATCTGTGATTGTTTAGGGTTGAGATAGTACACTAAGATGTAGTTAATCTAAGTAGAAACAGAAGGTTGAGACTTTTGGGGGGCTTTTCCAATTGAAAAGCAGTATGCAAACCTGAGAGAAACCTATAGTTGCATTCTCATAAATGCTAAAACATGGTTTAAATGTATATCCAAATACAGCCAACAATTTCATAGTATTAAATACTCTCATGTGTTTTGCCTTTTGAAAGAATTCTGCTGGCCATAATTGTTCAATGCAGTCATAGGATTATAAATAATAACAATAGAATGAGAACAGAATCAGTTAACATAATTTAAAGTTTGTGAGAAAAAATATCCTATTACAAATTTTTAATTATATGTGTCATGATGAAATATATTCTCATCCATTCCTAGTTGGTACTGTTTTTAAAAGTGCGGTAGCATTCTGCAGAATGTAGAGTTATGGATCATATTTGATCAGCAATAAAGGATTGTGACAATAAAATCTACCATGAAACAAAAAATATTCTCTCAGGAATTGTTAAAGATAATTATTACAGTGACTTGTACAGGCTGATATAAATGTTGATTATCTGTACATTATAGAGTGGAAAATTTTATCAGACATCACACTTTAGTGTGTAATTTTAGCTTTTAAAATTCAAAACTGAACATAGTTGTTTCTGATACTACTATCCACAAGGCCAGATAATATATGGATTGCTGATATTGCTTGCTTTTAAAATTGTGTCTCTGTTCACTCCATTTTCATTTCAGTTGCACTCAGAGCTTAATACAACAAGCTCCCTGATAACTTTGTCTATTCAACCAACTTTCTCAGTGATCACATCTTTGCAAAATTGTTTTCTCAAAAGCCAAACTAAAGAAGAAAGAGGAATGCCAGGTCTTACAAGCATGCAGTCTTCTAATGCATTTCTTTCAGTGGTTTACCTTGCATCTTCTGAACAAGGTGGTGGAGCCTTAAAGCATCCTTATTTATCATTGTGTTCCCCACATGGGTTGGAATGTAGTTCTAACATTCTCAGCCAGGAGGGCTAAAGACCACAATAGCTGCAATTTCTTGGCATGGTAGATGCACAGATTTAATGTACCAAGTTATGATAGGTTGACTTAAAGAGACAGCATTACTATTAATAGAAAAAAGGTTCAGGAAAGATTTAGCACTCCACATTTTGGTGAGCTGCAGTTCCCAACATTCCTAGAAAAAATTGGTAATGGTTAAAAATACTGGAAATTGTAGTTTAGCAAGATGTGTCATTATTTATTTATTCCTAAAAAGATGAAAATAATTTTGAGTAGGCTTTCTTCTATTACTAGTTACTGCAGAATTTTTTTTTAGTTTTTTTGTGCTTTGATCTTCAGGTACAATGGTTGGTGACCACACTCGCTTGGAGTTCCACAACATTGAGACTGGGATAATGACAGAGAAGCGTTACATTTCTGTCATTCCTTCCAGCTTCATTGGCCACCTTCAGAGCCTCATGTTCAATGGCCTTCTCTACATTGACTTATGCAAGAATGGAGACATTGACTATTGTGAATTGAAAGCCCGCTTTGGGCTCCGTAACATCATTGCTGATCCTGTTACCTTCAAGACCAAGAGCAGCTACCTGAGCCTAGCGACCTTGCAGGCCTATACCTCCATGCATCTCTTCTTCCAGTTCAAGACAACTTCTGCCGATGGTTTCATCCTTTTCAACAGTGGGGATGGAAATGATTTCATTGCAGTTGAGCTGGTCAAGGGGTAAGATCTTCGGTTGGCTCTGGCAATGGATTCGTTAATAGAGGTCTTTCATATGTGTTTAAAATCTAATTTTAATTTCTGATTCTTTTATTTTTTGAAATTATAACTTTAATGACTTCATAGCTGTAGCATACTTTCTCTGAAAAAGCTGCTTTTGTTTCATTTCCCTAGACAAACCATTATTATTTGAAATTTAGAATGATCTTCTTTTCTGAACCTTTTCAAAGCAGGGACTTTTATTTTTTGCAGGTATATACATTATGTGTTTGACCTTGGAAATGGACCTAATGTTATCAAGGGCAATAGTGATCGCCCATTGAATGACAATCAGTGGCACAATGTAGTTATCACCAGAGACAACAGCAACACCCATAGCCTAAAAGTGGATACCAGGGTTGTTACTCAGGTCATCAATGGTGCCAAAAACCTTGACCTTAAGGGTAAGTAACTGGATCAATTTTGAATTGATTCATCCATGCATGATAATAATTATTCCTAATACCATATCCGTTGAAAAATCTGAAAGCTGGATGTGGGAAATACTGGAAAGGCAAACCATATAATGATTACAAATACCTGGTATTTTCAGTGATAAAGAGATCATGGGTTTGGGAACTCCACTCTGTAGAAAGCAGTAAGACTTTAAAAAGGTATTGCACTGGATAGCTGAAATTATTTCTTAAGAACTTTATGTATGGCATCATAGGGTTGAAAGGGGCCATTTACATCTTCAAATCCAATCCCTAGGGCAGGAGTAAACCTCCCCAACAGATAGCTGTCTCACCGCTGCTCCACTAGATCCTAAACAAGTGAAGGGAAGTCCAGTACACAGCCTGTAACTGATTCAACTATAAAACAGCTTTTCTTATTATTGTTTTTCTTTACATTCATTCAGAATCTGTTTTCTTGCAAGTTAAAACTATTGTTATGTGACACGTGCTCTGGAATGATAGAGAATAGAACTTGGCCTTCTGAGTGACAAAGATACCCTCCTCAGTTCTATCCTCCCAATATTAAACAAAATATTCCTAATTCCCTGAATCAGTTGCTAGTTTTTTTATCTTCCTCCTATAATATGGTGCCTAGAACTGGCTATAAGACTTGTAGTCTGACTCGTACAGAATGTAGTGAAATATTTATTGTTTGTAATTTGGGAATGATAATATTGTTGATGCAATGTATAAATGTAGCTGCTTATTTCTATATCACACAGTTGTTTATATTGCAAATTTCTGTCATATTAGTATTACCTACCTTATCATTAGTATAAGGCCTTTTAAGATGCTGATTATAATATAACGGTAAATAGCACTGCTCACTGATTGCCTTGGACTTTCCTTGTCTCCTATCTGTTTTCCTTTAGGTGACCTGTACATTGCTGGACTAGCTCAAGGAATGTATAGCAATCTCCCAAAGCTGGTAGCATCCAGAGATGGATTTCAGGGCTGTCTAGCATCGGTGGACTTGAATGGGCGTTTACCAGATCTCATTAATGATGCTCTGCACCGCAGTGGGCAGATTGAGCGGGGATGTGAAGGTATAGTTTACTTAAAATGCAATTCCTTTTTGCTCAGTCCTCCCTCCCTCCTCGCTGTTCTATGCATTGCCATTCATTTCCATCATAAATCCTCTTACTGATCTATCCTCATTGTGACATCTCCCCATGCTATCCATGTACATGTTCCGTATTTGTAATCATCTTGGATGTGCAACATGTGAAAGGAACGAGAGATGATTCTACATGGCTTTCTGTTTGATGTATTATATCCCTATCACAAAATACATTATATATAGCATGCACATCACTTGGCTCTCTTAGGTTATGTTTATAATTCTAATCACCTTAAATCCAAAACAAGAACAGTAATAATAATAGATTTTATCCAAACAACATCAAATAAATAGCAGAAGAATGACTATAGAAGTAATATAATGATTAAGGAGTTGCCAGTATATAAACAATCTGGGTACTTAATTCCCAATAAAATTGAGACCTTACATAATGATGAAATGTCTTTGATGTGTACTCCTGATATAAGATCTATATTTCCTATCCTGCAAGCTCTTGCTAATTATGAATAATCTATTTGATATCCAGTTGTGTTCTACAATTAAAGCTTTAGGTTGATTTCTATTAAAAGCATTCTTACCCATCAGCTGGCAGTAATTTATGTATATATGAAGCAATTGGAGATGTTTATTCATAATCAGACAGTGATTATAAGAAATACAACAAATATTACCTGAACATTATTTTTTTCCATTTGAGTTATTTTCCACAAACAGGATTCTGTAAAAATATCCATACTCCTGAAACAATGCATAGTGGTCTTCATGAGTTATTACATATATCCCAGTTTCACTTAGGATTCTATAAATTCAAATTATAAGTAATCAAATTCAAATTATAAATCTATGCATAATAATAGTTTTATTAGGATGGTGTAATATTTTATTTAATTAAATAATTTATATGGCCACCATTCTCACAACAGTGATTCTGGGTAGTGTATAAAGATTAAAACCAAAGAATTAAAAACAATAGCCCATCAAGGGAAATGATACCTTATAAAATCATATTCACAATAAACTTGCCCAACCTTTTATCTAATCACCTGGCCTGAATACCTGGAGAAACAGCCAGGTTTTTGGAGCCTTATAAAAAGCCAGTAGGGTTGGATACATCCAGATCTCTGGGGGGATGTTATTACAGAAGGTAGGCACTGCCTAGGGAAGACATGGCTCCTAGATTAAACAAGTTGAGATAGTTTGATAGAGGAGATGTGTTGCAGTTGCAGTTGCCCTCTAGTTCTAATGGGCTGAGCAAAAACAATGGAAGAAAGGCAGGTCTACAATATGTTCTGGATAACCTCCCATTTTGTCATCTAAGAGTTCTATGAACTACATGGTTAGTTGGCTGAATTCTCCATCAGTCTTTTATATTTTATATGACTTTGGAATAAACAACAATCTACTTTAAGAGCATCTTCTTTTGTACCATATTTTGATTTTTGGATGAATGTATGAAGAAATAATGCTCTGGAATAATGAGACTTTTGAAAGAATCAGGGACTTAGGAAGAAGGTAGGTAGGACATACCAATAAAGCAATAATGTAATGTAACATTCCCATAATGGCTGCTACTAAGACTCTCTCATCCTTTGTATTTGGAATCCGGTGATTTTGGGGGAGGGGGAATATTCACATGTGAATTTTTCCCCTTCAATTTAATATCTTACAATATCTCTTTCTGTAAAATAACCACCAATGGCTGGTGTCAGCTGACAGCATTAATATGACAGTTTTGTTTACCTGAAAAACTGAATGGAAACAACAAATTGATGGCATATTAAAGACGATAAGCTTTTTTCCTACCAGAATCACCTTTATCAAAAGGATGAACTAGAAAGATATGCACAGTGGGAGAAACAGTGAAGAAAGAGGGAAATGAAAGGCAGATAATGCAAGTGGTGATAATTCCATTATTGACAGTGACTATTTGCAAAGCAAGTTTTGGATGATGGCACAAATCCTTTTAGGGTTAGCTGTTTAGCAACTCTGAGTTTTAAAAAAGAAAATGTTGTGAGAAGTAGCAGTATTTACATACAGAATGCAAGGGAGCTGTATTATCTGTAGCTCCTTGAATTTTTCTAAATCTGCTCCAATCAAACAAAGCAGATTTTAAGGGTATTTTGGTGAGCAGGTTATGTGACTAAGAGAACAGAAACTCATGGTACAAGTCAGGTTTTTTCTTCTATGATATTAGACTCAGTCCATCATTACAGAGTCCTCAGTAATGGGATTATATAAAGAAGTAAATAAATAAATTTTGCCGTTCTGTCAATGACTTCAAAACACATTCTTGAATAAGGAAATGTTAGAGATGATTGCAACACAAAGCATCTGTACCACAGTTAATTAAGAAGTCCAGTATTATCGTTTGTGGCTTGAACAAGATTCGTACTTTATTTTATATTAGTCATTTTAATTTATATATTAACTCACAAATGCAATTATGATTGTGTTATCATCCAACTTCTGATTTATGAAAAGGCATTTCTAATAAGATAACTATTAATACTTTCTGCATTTCACTTTCCTCTATTTTCCATCTCTTGTGAATAGCCAGTTATTTAATGAGTTATGAAATGAGTTATTTTCATAACTCACTAATATTCTTGATATTAGTGTATCTGAGCACAGGTTTTGTGCTATAAATTAATATTTAGGAAACCTCAAGGTAGAAGGTCTTTTCTTTTCTTTTTGGGACAGCTGGTTAGCTTAGCTACATCTCTATAAAGAAGAAAATAAATTGTGAATTTGTGAGCCATGAGAAATAATGGTTCTACTCCAGAGTAGTAATTTGTGCAGCTTATATCGGTTGCTCTCTCTATATATATATATGACATATATTTTACTTTCTTAGCTGCAATGTATCATTTCTGATATAGCAAAGTGATGGTCAGATTTGGAGGGTTCTGAACCTAAATTCACCCTTACTGAGTTATTTGAATAAACTATTTTGCTGCCATTCATTTTTTCCCCTATTGGGCACTATACTACTGCCATTCTACATAACACAGAGACAGCTGTGTTTCAGAGAAATATATCTTATATGGGACATTTCAAAATAGAATTGTCTGATTATTTAGTTTGCTAGACTCAAAATTTCTACTACATATAGTTGCACAACTATCTTCTTAATTAACATCAATCCTTTCTAAAAACAAGATACAGCTTGGTGTAACTGCTTAAGGCACTGATCTAGAAACTGGGAAATTATAAATTCTAGTCCCACCTGAGGGCCATAATTAGCTTTCCGCCAATCACTTTCTCTTAGTCCTGGGAAGCAGACAATGGCAAACCACTTCTGAAATCCTGTTAACAAAACTGCAGGGACCGGTCCAGGCAATCTCCAGAAGTCAACAGTGATTCAAAGGCATGCACAAACACTCATTTTAAAAAGCAAATTGTTCATTCCACTAGAATCAGAACATAGTAATGGAACACATGTTTACATTTATAAGATATCTGATTCAGTCTCTTGACATTTGCAGTTGAGTTCCATACCTTTCTTTAATGATTTTGGAAAGCTATTATGCATCAGTATAGACTTGTGTAGACTAATTGGACCTTTTGCATCTTTTGTATCTTTTACAACCATGTTCAGTGAGATAACTCTGATTCTTAAAAAAGAAAAGGCATAACTTATCCTACATGCAAACAAGCATCAAACCATCAGGATGGTTACATGAGACAAATAACTATATATAGTGTCAGCTCATAAGAGATAATACACTGAAAGAGATAATTTGTTACACATATCTGAGATTGAGCTTTTAAGTGAAAATTCGGGACATTAATCCATAGCTGAGATCATGATAGAGCTGGATGCATGCTTATCGGGATTTGAAATAACTATTTCTGTGATCTTTGGCTATGGCTAACATGAACTGTGGGCTGCTGCTCCCTTTCCTTGTTACAGGCTTGATCACTGCTTTCCAAGAAGCACACTCCCACAAAGATATTTTAGCAAAGCTAAGGGTTTTGTTGAATCCAACTGTGAAGAATCCTAGGCTTAGCTAGCGCTTATCACACAACCTTCAGATCTTCAGCTTTGGAATGACATAATCAGCGTGAGTGGAATTTAAGCAAGAAAGACTGTATCAAATCATATTTTCTAAACATTAGTTATATATAAATCTGAGTACTTTCATTCATATAATGAGATTGCTTAACCAGAAAAGGTACTGGTTTAAATAAAAATCAAAACAAGGACAGTCATGTAATTTACAGAAATCAATTTTAACAGTAAACAAGGGATGAAGATAAAGAATTATATTTATATTGGGTAATTTTTTTAAAAAAAGAACTTGTATCTTTTTTTTTATTGAGATTATTTTAAAATCAGTCATAAAATGAAAAACCAGATTGATATATAGTTGACATCTCCATATAACCTCTGGGAGCTTTTTCTGTAACATATTTTGTCAACTAATAGGAACCCCACCTCCAATATTCCTCAATTATTAATTTGAAATTGTTTATGCAGAGATGAAGATGAATAAGAGAGAGAAATATTTAAGAAAGCAACATCCTCCAATTATCATTATGAACTCTTAAATTCAGCATCCATGATCTTTTAGGGAGTATATGAATATATTTGCAGAACATTAATATTTTTAAAAAATAATTGTATTCTATTTATGCAGCCAGTTATGAATCTTCAATTTATATATACTGTATATGTGAAATATCTAGATATTTTTGTACATAATTTCCCACAAGACACATACATTATAATTTTCCTATGTATAAGTTTTCTTAAAAAGTATCTGGTACATGCTGTGGTGTAATATAGTTTCTCAGACTATATGCAATTTTTGTATGCAGCATCAACAAAATACATCACAAAACTTACAGAAGTGGAAAAAGAGAATCCTAGTGCTCTGGCATAGATGTTTATTTGGGAAATGCAGATCATATTAGAGTTCACATGTATACAAAAACAAGCTTCATCTTATTGCCATCACTGTCTTTGGCGAGACATAAGCAGTAAAATGAGCATTGACCATTAATTATTCAGTCTTTTCTTACTGAGGGACTTCAATGACAAGAATAATAGTACCTCTAAATAAAATGTTTAAAAAGATCTTTCTTCTCTTTAAAATTAGCAATAAAATTAGGTGCAATATGTCTCAGTTACTTAATCAGATTAAATGTACTTTATATATCCCAAAACCTGATTTTACTGGCTGGATATCTTCTGGTAACTATACAATTGGAGCCAGCAAGAGAAATTCATTCACAATAGATGAGATTTAGCAGATGTAATAATAAACAATTGTAACTCTTATACCATATATAAAGGTAGTCCTTGACTTACGACCACAATTAAGCACCGGTTTTTTATTGCTGAGCAAGGCAGTTGTGAAGTGATTTGTGTCCCACTTTCTGACCTTTTTGCCACAGTTGTTAAGCAAATCATGCAGTTATTAAGTGAATCTGGCCTCCCTCATTGCCTTTTACTGGTTGGAAGCTAGCTGGGAAGATTATAAATGATCTTGATCACAGGACAGTCATAAATACATACCAGAAATAATTTTGGTTACCAGATACCAGGTAGCCTATCACTTTACTTAAAAAAAGACATATGATGTGCTGGTATCACAGAATAAGCCACTTCCTTTATAGGTTCCCCATCTCCTGTTTATTGCAATAATTAGATTTTTTTTTTTTGAAACTGTAAAGTTTCAAAAATTGAAGGCTCAATTATCCCACTTCTACAACTTTGCATAGTGCTAATGCTCAAAAAGTAGAACAAGAATTCCTTCAAGGGAGAAGAAACTCTGTAAAATCTATTTAATGACTGTGGGATGATGAATAAATTTTTTTAAAAAAAGAAAGCGAATGAATAAAGCATGAAGCTTTTTGATGAGTCATAGTGAGCTACACTATGTTCAGTGTCTCCATAGAAGTAAATCACACTGTTTGCAAGTGATCTTACAAGCAGGCAAGTGACATAGGATTGTTGTTTAAATGCTAATGCATTAGAAGCTAAAGCAGAAACTTCCTTTGCAGTTTTAGCACCAGGCCCGGTTGATGATGGTCTGTGAGAATATCTATAAACTGCATGGCTTGATTTTCTGAAAAAATAAAATAAAATACATAACAATAATGTGTTCCAAAAGTGGTAATCAGTATGTCTGATAAATCCTCCAGTAGAGCTGATGGGTCAGTGCTTTACCAGTTTTCTTTCTTTCATGAGTGTTGGATATAAATGTCCTTTTATGGGATATTTTCTCGTTCATCCCTCCCTTCAATTTCTGCAATATGGGAAAGAAACTCTGAAGTCAAAGATTGATTCCAGAGTAATGTATTGGAACAACTTGTTCCTAAAATCTAAGTTTTTTGGCAGGGCAGTAGATACTTAACAAGTTAATGGAAGGATAATCTTGCCTTTGCTCCTTTCACTGGTTTATTACCTCCATCTATCTTATATATTACATCACAAATCCTTATATCCTTATCTATCCTGTATCCTAAATATATTAAGTATATCTAATTTTAGAGATCTCAGCAGAAGGAAATACATTTCCAATTCTTCCTTGAGTTTCCTTATAAGAGCATTCTCATAAACTGGAGAGTCAGATCTCCAAAAAAGTGACTATTTTCTTATACCTCCATCAAATACACATGAGACACATTGTAAAGAAAAGACGACATATTTCTTACCTTGTGGAAAACTTAATAAAACCAAATTCTGATCTTAAATTTTATAGCAACAGCAAGAGCATATAATAAACATTCTTTACATTATCTGTAAAGGAGCTACCAGGAGCTCATATAGTATTTGAAGTATTTGCCTTATGGACCTCAACATATGTGTTCCAGGAGATTTCTGGAACTTAAAATTCCCAGAATAAGTTAACTCCATGCTGTCTAATCTACTCCAGATGCAATATTCATTAGTAGAATGACAGACCATAAACTCTAGAAACACATCCCTGATGCCATCATTAACTGATGTTTATTTATGTATTTATGAGCTACATTTTGGCAAATGATCCTAAATATCCAAAATCAAGAAAAATAAATATACCAAAATAAAATAAAAACATAAATATAAACATGATGATGATGACGACAATGATGATCATCAACTGAATAGAAGAGCTTCCTAAATCAAGTAGTTGTAGATTCTGAAATTCTAAAGGAAATGTCAGGGCAAATCTCTCTACCACATAGGGAAAAGTTCCAAAGTTATGTATTCATCAGAAAATAATAGAAAACTAAACAGAAATAGAATCTTGTGAGCTTGGGAATCCTTTAAATTATCAACTATTTAGCGGCTGAAATGTGTTTACTTAGAAATACACCGATGCAGAATGAAGTCAAGGACCAGAACAAGAGCAGGTTCCATTTCAGGAACATTCCCATGACAACATTTTTGAATATGGTGGGATATGATCAACACAGACTTGATGTTGGGTAGATCTACCTTATATATGAACAAGAAGAATTCATAGTACACAAGCTGATTGATTGTATTGCGAACTGAAGCCATCACCTAAAAACTTCAAAGAAAGCTACATCAAAGACTTCCAAAAAAAAAAGATAGGTTGTTTATAAGATAGGCTGCCAGATCCAGTGCAAACAATCTGGGAAACTGCTAGATAGCAACAATCGGATACAGAAAACTCTGATGCCATCTAGTTATAATCCAGATTTTTGCAGCTCAGATTTATAAAATAATCACGTCAGGATCAGAGGTGCCTTTCATTACTACCAAGTCTACTATTCTGAAATAGGGGAAAAAAAGTTATTTTATCTTATTTTAAAAACACCAATATTGTACTGTACATAGCTTCTTAAAAGCTTATATGGGAATGGATATTAAGCAAAAATTTACCTATATATTTTTCCTCTGGATCTGTACATCACAAAGGAAGCAAATAGGTTTCCCATTTTTTTATTTTAAATGAGCATGGGAAACTCCTCAGTGGGAAACTAATCTCACTATTTGCTCCTTCATTTATAAATATTGGTGAATCTTGTGCCATGAATGTTCCTTCTGGTGTTACTCTTTGTATAAGAAGTATGTCCATTCTATTTCTCTTCCTAGTACTCCATGCTATGTCGCTTGCTATTTGGTTTGATGTGGAGCTGATGATGGATTGAGGCCATAGCTACCTCTCTCCACCTATGTCTGTCTGTTGTCTTTGATGGTGTCATTTCATGTCTCTTGCTAGTGTCACCCATATCTCTGAAGTGAGCATATGGGTTGTGTTGGTTATCCCAATTTCTTTTGATTTATTTTTGTAGACGTTACCCTGGTTTATCTGCTATTTTACTAACTCTGATTTATTGTTTTCGCTTTTTCCGTTCTTTTGCTAACAAAGTTGAGTTGACCAAAGCTGACCTGCAAGGTAGAGAAGGTTTTTGTTTCCTTGCCAGTTTGACTGAAAGTTACCTTTGAATGTAACCTTTTATATATCAGTATCTATATTTCTTATTAATGCAGTCACATCTCTAAGGCAAAAGGATATTAATTTTCTTCAACTTGCTAAGTTGGAGAATGGGGCGGTGAGGATTTGGGGGGAGAAATGTACACTAAGGTTTTTGGGATAGCTTGAGAGGTTTGACTGTATCTCACCTTAAGAATATCTCTATAACTGCATGGCTTGATTTTCTGAACAAAAAAAATTAAAATACATAATGAAAGTAGCACTGAATGCTTGATTCCTAAAATCAAGATGTGGAATAAGTACTTTAGCACAGTGTAATTACTTACAAGACAATCCTTTGATCCAAGAAACTCTTTTTCCAATTCTCTGCTCAATCTCATTATGATTATGAAATCCAATCTGGAAACATATATGAGGAGGAGATGGAAAAAGTTTAAAGAGGGATAATTAACCGCAAATATTAGAAGGATATATTAAGTTCTTCATGTTGCTGGGGGTGGGATGGGAAGCTATTGCACAAAAACGCAAACATATTTTTAAGCACTTTCCCAACCCTGATTCTTTGTTCTATCTCTCTCATTTAGTATTTTTGACATTGTTTTTGCACATTCATTTGGAAATGTGTACTCATTATATAATTGAAAAACTGATGAAATTCTGATTGGGCAGTTCCAGATGAAGTGCCCAGAGCTCAGTCTTGTGGTGCTATCTGAGACAGGTTTGATTTGGTGACTCTTGAGGAAGTAGACAGGGTTCTCTACATCAGTGGTCACCAACTGGTGGTCTGTGGACCACTGGTGGTCCGTGAGAAAATTTTGGTGGTCTGCAGAAAACTCTGCATTTTTGCATTTTTTTTAATATTGAACTAAATCAGGGGTCCTCAAACTACGCTCCCTGGGCCAGATACCGGCCCACTGAAGCAATTAATCCAGCTCACTGACGGGATGGGGTCCTTCAGGCACTTAGCTTGGAGTACCCTATTTAGTACTCCAGTCCTTCCCTCGCTTGCTGGGAGTCCAGGTCCTTCAGTGAGTGGCACACAAAACTTTGGCCGGGCTCCTTGAGAGACGGAGTTTGCAGAGGACTGATCTAGCGCCCAGGCTGGCCACAATACAAACATTAATTCTTGGCCATATTTGATATTCTTAGCTGCAATGGACAGCAAAGCTAGGGTTCACCCCGGACACTTCTCTCCGCTAACAGGTGGCCAAGTTAAGTGCCTGAAGGACCCCATCCCATCACTAATTCATATTAGTGGTCTGTGGGATTTAAAATTATGAATTTAGTGGTCCCTGAGGTCCAAAAGGTTGGTGACCCCTGCTCTATATGGTGGGTTTGGCCACCTATTTATTAGAGCCTCTAGAGTTATGAGATGACACAGGAAGTGAATGTAGTTGGGCCCGTTTCTTTCGATGCCATCAGCATTGAAGGAGGTGATGGTGTGCACGCTCATCAAAAGGTCATCTAGTTATCATCTTGTTTCCGGTTGAGATATTTGTGCCTGCAGTTGCAGAGAATCCTGGTGGAAGCAGATTATTTAGACCCGTTTCAGTCAGATTTCAACCCAGGGATCAAACACAGAGACAGCTGTCAGTCCTGCAAGTCCTACAAGATAAAGCAGATGAAGAAACAAATGCCATTTAGGCCAGGATTATGTATATTTATAGTAACAGACCCTTCCAAGTCTGAATGAGCTTCCCTTTCCCTCACCTTATCAAAATGTGAACTAGACAGGAACCTGAGACATTTTCACCAACTAGTTCCTTGGATGGGCTCAAGGCTTCCTTGTCTGATTGGCAATGACTTCTTGCCTTGTCCTTTATGGTCTATACCACAGCATTGATTGTATAATTGATGACATTTGGTGGAGCCAGAGGTGCACCCATCTTTGTGCTTCTTAATCTCTCAGTAGCTTTCAATATTGGCAATAATGGTATTGTTCTAGACTGGCAGAAGGTTGAAATCTGATATGAGTTTGATTTGTGAATTGAGGTTGTCTTTTTATGGTGCTACTCTTCATTTCTTTGTGGCCAGTTCCAGTTGTAGCTGATACAGTTTCATGAATTGCACTGGTTGCCAGTATGCTTCTGGATATGATTTAAAATGTTTATTATCCCCTGTAAAGACTTTCATGGCATTGGACCAGGTTATTTGAGGGATCTTCCATGGTTTTTGCTTGGCTAATATGAATTGACATAGTTGGGACATTCTAGTCCTTTTGATTAAACAATGCCATCTATCAAGAGTCAAGAAACATGCCTTTGATTTGTGGTGCCTGCATATTGGAATAGGCTGGATGATGATGATGATGATGATGATGATGATGATGATGATGATGATGATGAATGCCATCTTAAAGTTGTGAAAGAGAAATTTAAAAATGATCCCTTGTCCAGCATCATTCAATTCAATATTTATCAGTAAATCTTATCTGTAAGAAAAAAGAAAATAAGCAATGAGAAGAAATTCTAATGGATGAATCAATGGAAAATAACACTTGTAAGATTTACACAACATGATTATTTCTTTTTTGCAGTTTATGACTGTATTTGCGTTTTTTTTTTTTTTTTTTGCAACTGCATCACACTATAGGCTCATATTCAGTTATGACTTCATTCTCAGGAATCTCATACTGATTGTCTTGTATCATTATGGGTTCAGAATGCCCTGTGTTGTCATACTGATAGAGAAGGCAAACAAAAACTTCATTTGTAGAAAACCATAGCTAAGCTAGACAGGGATATGAATGCACATAATTTAAAATTTCTTGTTTCTGTATGTTCACTCTATATGTCAGTGGAATATATGAAAATAGTTCTAAGCATTCTGGTAAATGCATTATCAAAATCCCGTTTTAGGCAAATCGTGTTATTAGCTGCTGAATCACAAAACTTTGGTAGCTATCTTGAGTTTAATGTTTGTTTTTTTAAAATTATATTATCTAACATTAGAGTTATCTAATATTATCTACAGCCATGTTTGACCTGGACAGTAAATTTTGGTGGCTATTTTGGAATTTTGCATTTTTTAATACTTTTATTTGCTGGCAGATCCTTGTGTGATTTTTCCTTAAAACACTGTAGGATATTTCTTTAAATAGTGAGTTTGAGAGAAATTCACAGAGTTGGATGATTTTAAATGCAAACAGTGTTTCCATAAATTTTGACATCTAAATTGACTCTTCTGAAATCTATATCAGATATGACATTTTTTGCATAATGTAGCATTAAGACTTTAATGTTTTATTAGGTGAAGAAAGTAGAACCAGAAAGCATTTATAAAAACAGCATTTCTGACACCCTGTACCAAGTTTGAAGAAAGATATTTAAATCCTTTTCTCTTCAGTGCACATCAGTTAACTTCCTTTTGCTTCTGTCATGAACTGCCAATCATAAAACAGCTTTTCTTTACTTTAGAGTGTGTTTTGTTTGTCTGTGGGGGAGGGGGATTAACCTCTTAATTTTTGTGACATGTCTATTGTGATAGTCAAGTGTCACAAGCAGGGGAGTTTTGACCCTAGTAAAGAAAAGAAGCATCAGTGGCAGATGTTCTCTTAGGCAAGAAGGATCTGTAAAAATTGCTTGGTGAGTGCCAACGAGGAAAAGCAAATATAACATGTGACTTATGACCAGTAAAGAAAGGTAAGCTAACTCCTGTTATATCCCTGCTGAAAGTCAGAATCCTTTTTAGCATTCCCTTTAGCATTTAGCATTTTATCATGCTGATTTCACAGAATAGAATTTCACTTCATTTTCCCTTCTTCCCCAGAGATTTTAAATCCATGTAAAGTCCTGATTCAGGCACACAATCTTGATTGGTTGCTCACCTAAGAAGGGTTTTTTCCAGATACACATTGTAAAACGTTCTCACAAGTGTATTTGAAACATGCAAATTGTAATTATGCATTTGTTAGGTGATTAGTCTGCAATAAACCAGAAAATACTTTCAAGCTGATTTAGTCAGTCAAATTATGTGAGGGTTCCTTCAAAACCTCCAGCAGGTATCTTACAAGAATAAACCCCAAAAGCATGAAATATGTGCAGGGATGTCCATGCGTTGTGGTTTTTTTTTGAAAAGTCAAGTTATTTGCAACAGTGCCGTTAAAGTTCTGTTTGTTTTTTTAATGTGTATCATTTGAACTGGACCACAGTATCTGGAACCTTGACTTTAATGACCACATGCTGTGGATCTTCCTGACTAAATTGGAGATGCATTGGAAACTGGAGTTTCTCAAAGCAGGAATGCTGATTCTGTCCTTAAGCATTTACTGCCTAACACTAAGCATGAGAAACTCAAAGCACAGGGACCCATTAAGCAGTGAAAAATCAGGAAGGACAGCAGCCAATTTAAACGGCAGAGGGCATGTGAAAGGTCCAATTCCCATGTTAATAGAGGACAATCAATTGCTTTAAGTGGATTCATTCTAGCATGAAATAAAGACACCAAGCTTTCCATCCACTCTTGTGGTATAAGGTGTCTAGCTAGTTTCTCCAAACTTCCAGCCTGTTAAAGGAAGGACCCTAATCCGACAGTTTAGATTTACCACCCAGTTATACATGGAAGAGGGGACTTAATGGCAGAAACTATCTGCTCTCAGTTTTCTTGTTGCAAACATGGGATGGCATTTTGGAGATTTGTGAAAGTTTGTAAAGGGATGCTTAAAAGGAAAGTTGATTTATACTTCCAGGACATTTTTCTGACATTTTTCCTACCAGAATTAATATAAGCCAGTGTAGCTTTCAGCTTGACTAACTTCATGTAATGTACTGTAAAATTTCCATGATACAATCCAAATAACAGCAGTATATGTTGCTCTCGTTTTACAATTCTACATGAATAAAAGACATAAGCCTTCTCTTAAAGTGTCTTAGCTAGTGTTGCTGGCAAAACCATAAATGTTATACAGGTTACAGCCACAAATGCATGTTGTTAAGTAAGACATTTGTTAAAGTGGAGTTTCGCACCACTTTATGATCTTTCTAGCCATAATTGTTAAGTGAATCATTGCAGTTGTTGTGTTAGTAACACGGTTGTTAAATCAATCTGGCTTCTCCATTGACTTTACTTGTCAGAAGTTCACAAAAGGGATCACATGACCCAGCACACTGCAACCATGATAAAGATGAACCAGTTGCCAAGCATCTAAATTTTGATCATGTGACCATGGGGATGCTGCAACAGTCATAAGTGTAAAAAATGGTCATAAGCAGTGGTGAATTCTACCGATTCACACCAATTCGGGCGAACCGGTAGTGATAAAAGCTACTGGTTCAGCGAACCAGTAGTAAAAAAAAGCTACCGGTTGGTCCACACCAGTACTTCCGATAATCAGCTGTGCTGCCTGATTTATATTCGCTAGAAAGCAGTTAATCCTGCTTTCTAGCAAATCTAAATAGCACGGCACAGCTGTCCCCCCCCCCCTTTGCTTTTCTACTTACCTTGTTAAGCATCCTTTTTCCGCGCAAAGTGCATGTTTGGCACACACTGTGCATGCACATGTACAATGTGCATTTGGTGCACACTGCACATGCATACTCAGTGTGTATTTGGCACGCACTGCAAATGTGCATACAGCGTGTGTTTGGCGTGCACTGTGCATGTGTGTGCACAGCACACATTTGGCACGCACCATGCATTTGCGGGCAGCAAACCGGTGGCAAACCACAGAGGATTTCACCACTGGTTACAAGTCACAACTGTATGTAACAAAATTTCATTTTAATGTATGCCGATTGGTGTACATTCAAAGTGACAATAAAGTTATTTTAAGCTCTAAATTCAATGTAAAGCTTAGAGGAGTTGGACTGAAATGCTGACATACTTGTAGTCAGCTTGCCATATTGACACACTTGTGGCTCCAGATGGTTTTACTGGTGTCTTGTAGGATTATGCATTGCCTAACATGTTCTCCCTTTCCTCAATAAATTTTTAGCTGTGAGGGAGAATGAGAACCCTGGCTTCTGTAGCAACTTTTCCCCTCATTTATAGTTATATTGGTTGACCGTCAACTCTTCAGTGTAGCGAATGGACAATCTGAAATTGACTAGCTTATCTCTAATTTAAAACATGGAGTTGGGATTGAAAAACATGTTGTCTAATATTTATTTTTTACTTATTAAATTTATATGTCACCCATCTTACTGTCAAGTAACTTGGATCTAGAGCCCAGTTGGCAAGTCAGAAATTGTTTTAAAAATTCTTTGTAGCATCTGGGGATTTTTCGGTTGATACAAAACAGTTGTTTAGTTGACCCATAGTTTCAAGAATTTGTTTTTTAAAAAAACCAATTGGTCTATGGCAAAAAAGAAAGGGAGGGAGGGAGATTGCAGGGCATAAGATAGAACATTGTGCATGTAAACTGGAGGAGATCTTGTCATGTGGTAAAAACTGTTGGTTGGGGCTGAAATTTCCATGAAAAGAACCATGACCTTAGAATATTGAGTGGATGCATGAAGATAGCATGCTGTGGTGACAGCAAGATTTAGAATAGCATGATTTTCTTCCAGGATAGAAGGGAATATGACAAAGTAGCTATATTGATGTGTCTAGATCACCTTTCTAATTATTATTCACTTGGTCTCTGTGTCAATGCTTTGACAGCATTGGTAAAAAAACAAAGGTGTTTATTATTTTTTCAATCATTCCACATTGGGTAGGGGTCCATTTTAATAGATGAATCTCATATGATACTGCTAATTAATTGTATCCAAATATCTCACTGGTATGGAGCAAGTCAAAATTATTTCTTGTTCATCTTGAATCCTCACTCTTTGTGCTATAGTATTTAAGAGGATAGAATAGGAGTATCCACTGGAGTAGTATGTGAAAGCTCATAAAATCAGTAGTTACTACTTGCAAAGTCCAAATAGAACTATAATTAACTTAGTACACCCAAGAAAGACATGTGTCATAGACATTTTTCTAAAAGCCTCTATGCAATTTTAAAAATTCTGAGATCTTCAGAATTATTGGTACAGAGCTAAAATTCTCATCTATGATGGTATTTAATTTAATACAAGGGAGAAAATGGAACAAGCAAAGGAACAAATAAAAAGAGCTGACATTTCACCAGGTCCTATTAATATTTCCCCCCGAATATCAGCAGAAATTTTTTTGGATGAAGGGAGATTTAGTAGACAAATTTGATTTATTAATCTGATTTATTTAGGTACCCAACACACAATGATGTCCACATCAACCCATGTTTCTACCAAATTTGCTAGAAAATATATCTGCAGCATAACCTGGTAAATCAAGTTGTTTAACTGAGAATAGGAGGACTGTGACAAGTCTTAGTCTTTTTGGAAGAAATAGTACTTATTATAAGCATTTTTTTCCTGACCTTGCCAAGGAGGGAATATGCTACTTTTCATACCTTCCTTCTGCTGTGTACAAGTTACCTGTTTGTTGCTGAGTGTTTAATTCTCCATGTCTTTATGTGTCCTGAATTTCTGTGGCATGTTCCATGAAATGGAAAAGCATAGTTTCTTTTTGGGGGGAAGCTGGGCAGGGGGTTGCATGAAGAGAAGTATTCATAATCCATTATAGTGTCTCTTTCATAGTAGTTACTCTTTCTTTCATGCATTTCTTGCTATGCCATTTCAGGACCAAGCACCACCTGTCAAGAAGATTCCTGCGCCAACCAAGGCATCTGTATTCAGCAGTGGGAAGGCTTTACTTGCGATTGTTCCATGACATCATATTCTGGAAATCAGTGCAATGATCGTGAGTACCACCTTTTAAAAAACTGAATTGTTTACAAGGGAACTGAGAACCATTTGGTGTGTGGTCTGCAAACTTGCATGAATTCTAATGTCTAGAGTTGTCTGGTGAACTTCCTGGGAAATTAGTTTACGAAACTGGATTACATAAGAAAAATGAAGAGTTTTTATTTTCTCTGAGTTAGTATGAAAGTGTATGGGTGCATTCTGTTTTCATGTTTAAAGACTTTTTTAAAAAGGGTATTGATGTTCTTTTTATAGCAACCAGAGGGAACTGTATGTGCCAGACAATAATAAGAGCTTTGCTAAGAAGTACATTTGCTTCTTAAAAGTTTTTCTAATCATCCTATTCATGTGTAGCCTTTTCTAAATGCATGTAAAGCTCTAAAGTTTTTAAAGAGACATCTGGAAGCTTTACTGGTTTTACAAAATGCATTAATACATTGTCTGCATTAAAAGCTAAATTCTTCCTCATTATATGCTTTTCAAGCAAAAGTTTACCCGAAAAGGTGATGCATTAAATCAAAATTTAACTTGGAAAATGGTCCATCGTGGACATATAATTAGAGAACAGGTTTTCTTTATTGTTAGAAATGTAGAATGACAATATAACATATATTTATCGTCAAGTTATATCATGATATGGAACACTATGCCTGAGTAATTTTTCAAACCTGTATAATTTTTCAGGTTGGAAAAACCATACATTGAAGGAAATCTGTAGCTCAGACAGATAGTCTGTCTATGAATAGAGAAGGTCCTAAGTTAAATCCTTACCATCTATATAGAAAGATCAGTTAGCAAGTGATGGGATCTGGGTTCATAGAACATACCAAAGATATTCAATATCTTTTGGGCTTGGACCACCATATTTTGAATTCATAACAATTGTTTTAAGTTCAAAATAGGCTGTTGAATTGCCCAGAAAATATTCTGATGCTGTTACAAAATTAAGGAAAGAAGTAAGCTCACTTTCATACATTTTACTCTAATTACTAGTAATAAAGGGAGTATGGTACATGGAATTTAAGAAGTTTTAAATCCTAAATTAAAAATAATGATGAAAAGGATACATTTTTTGAGATTTTTCTAAATGCAGAGGCATTAGGAACCACACAACAAATGGCTTGCGTGCTAGATACAAATACAGACTTCTGCACATTTTCTGTAGATACTAAGGACTATATAAATTTGCAGTAAAGAACTGGTTTCTCAGATAATCCAGCCTTGTCCATTGGAGGTTTAAAAGTTACTGTCAAGGATGATGTTTACTAAGGAAAAATATTGGACTTTGGAAAGGTTAATATCCCTTTCTACCTTCCTGTTTTCCCCCAAAGAAAGAAACATGTGAAAAAGGTCAAGAATTTCATGCGTGTTCTGCTTGCAAGATAGGGTTTGTGTTAAAGGAAAGGTAACAAACATTTTCTGCTTTTACAATAAATCAAATTAATAGCTTAAAGTGTATCGAAATATCACTATAAAGAAACACTTCCATAATGTTTCAGTATGAAAATTATTTCACATGAATATATATGTTCATGATATAAGATGCCAAAGAAAATTTTAGCTTTTAGATAAAGATAGGTGGAAAATGTTAGTGTTAAAGTAACTTTACTGTTAGAAATAAATGTAAAAATGGGAATCTGGCCTGTAGGTGTTTATTAATTAGGTTCATGGCATTCATTTTTTGCCTCTTACTGTCATGTCCCCTTAGAATTCTTTAATATAATAGAGTCCACTTAATATATGATTTATTTCATGAGACAGTAGTCCATTAATACCTTTCTAATATGTATGTGTTTCTCTGATTTTTTTCTAAAAGACATGATAAGACAACCAGTGTATAAGTAATACAAAGCTACACTTATAAAGCTGCATTTAAGTCATCTACATTGGAGAGCTTTTAACAACATAAATTATTTTATGTTGTTCCTGCAGTTAATAAAATAGTTCATACTGTTGCACCCATTTTAGGTGGCCACTTATAAATCAAATTAACTTAAAGTTTTCAGCAAGCCAGCCTCTGAGCTTAGTGTGAGATTTTCCTTAATGTTCAGGAATAAATTGCTAGAAATGACTTCCAGAGGGTAAATTGAAATTTAAAAGCCAATTAAAAGAACCGTTTCCATTGTTTAAAATATGTATAATAACGTGTGCTGTATATGCAAGAACCATGTAGGAAAATTGCAAGTGTGCCTGAATTGCAAAGAAGTTAAAGGGAAAGAAAACACAGATAAAGTTTTATAAAAAGAAACTTCTGAAAGCCATCCTCTTCTGATGATGATTTTGTCAAAGTGATGGATCTAAAGAAAGGCTTGTACATTTTTGTTGTTTATAAGCAACTCTGAACTGCCATTAGTTGTGTAGCTATGATCTTCATAGATGTTGATTCAGAGATGTTTGTTGTGAGATACTGCCTCCTCATGGATCAGAACAGGTAAGTTCATGCTGATTATTCTGAACCTATCCAGCTGAGATCACAAAAGGTATGTGCTGTTACTTATATTTACAGTATAAGGTCTTGGGTATGCAAGAGCAGATTTTATTCCTTTCCATTTTGTATTATATTGTGGAGAACAAATAAAATCCATCCATTAATGTTCTGAGGCTACTATGATCCAAAGGCTGGGAGAACTACATAAACTGTTCTTGGAGCACAGAAGAAGGGCCATATGGATCCCTTTCTGAGAATGAAGGAAAGAAACCCATTAATATTAATTAATATTAATTTACAGCCCAGGTTACTATGTGCTGTTAAGGTCTCTATGTATCCATAATGGACTATGCAGTAATACAGGTTATTGAACAATTTGGAGCTATCAGACTTTAGAGGGATTTGTGTATCTAGGTATATTTGAAATTACACTTAATGTGCAACTTTATGGAGTTTTGAATACACCTCATTCTGTGCAGAAAGATAGGCAAATGATTGTAGAGCAAGAATATTAATTTCTATGAGACATTTTGGCTCCTTTTCCAGTTTCCCCAACATTCTACAACTAACTATGATATATACCTTTCTCTTTCTTTAAATAAACATTTGTGAGATGATAAACACAAAATTGATTTCTTCAAACCAGGACCTAAATCATCCCTAAGAAATTAGCCAAAGAATACTTTATTGGGATAGCTTTAATGCAGTCTGCCTTTTTTTCTAATAAGTAATTAAGAGTGAAAACCAATGCAAAACAATGATTTGTAGCTTCCTAGATGAGGACTGAAGTGTACATTTATTTTATGAATGCTTTTATTAAATTGCATAGTTGATGCAGTACTTATTCTATCTTCCTCTGGATTGCAAATACATTATATATATTTAAATAAAATTACTTGGAAATTGAGCTTAAATCACAGTGTTATCTGCAATTACTCTTGCTGCTAGTTAAGTGTTATAGTAAAATGGAGTATTTAAAGTAAACAGCTGCTCCTGGAGCTTTTTCCTTGCAATAGATCAGTTGCTTGATGGAGACTCTCGAGTACAAAGTGAAAACTTTTTTCCCCAACATATTTCTTATGGAAGAGCTAATGGGTGGTCATTAATTTTATTTCTATATTATTGCTATTCATATTAATCTTTAAATTATAGATGTTAATACAGTATTGACTGGTCTTTATAAAACAAGTTTTAATTCATCCAATATAAAAAAGCATAATGTGCTTCTCTCACATATACATGCTCACTTTTTTAAAGATTGAATTCATATTTGGAAGAATTTTCTATTTGTACTCAAAGTTCTTTAAGGAGTTCCTGTATTATATGTTAAAAATCTGTATCCTACATCATCCATCTCTAACTTAACGTTCTCTGGATGAAATAGAGTTATAATTTGTAGAATTCCTGGGTAGGATAGCTTAAGCTAGGAGTCATAGTTTAAATATACAGTATTTAGAGGCCCCAAAGTTAGTTGGGCCATTCTCATTTCTGTTTTCTATATCAGTGTTGCTTTCATCAAATCATACAACAGTAATGTGAAATGTACACCCAAAATTTAGGGCAACACAGGAATAGCTTGGAGCCTATTATATGTCTGAATTATTTTTCATTAAATTTATATTATAACTTTATAAAAATGAAAATAAAAATTTATATTATAAATTTATAAAAACGAAGAAACATTGAAACAATAGAAACATTCAGAGAGCATCTACCGTTTTACTGTATGTGTATGTGGGTGCGTGAGAGATAGAGGATTGCATTAAATCAAAGGCACCTGTCTTCCTTATGTCCAAGGTTGCAATTTTAAACTTGCTTTCTGGGTGATTTATTTTCACTACAATTTCATAGAATGGTTTCAGCTGAGTTTTTTGTCTGTATAGTTATCATTTTTATTGACTTAAACAAAATGGACATTCCAGATCTGTGGCATTCACACTCAGGATGGATGTCCCTTTTTAATATGAATTCCTTTACAACTCTTGTAATATATAACACACAAATGGTAATTAATATATATTTCTAAAGGCATTCAGTATAGTACAGAATAATTGACATTGCTTCAGATTCTAGAGACTGTATATTCCTATCCCTTTTAGAATTTACTCAGCATGCTGTTTCACGATCAGAATGGTAGTCAGGAATTCAGTTTGAATGAAATGTGGATGAACACTGTATAGATATAATATAAGTGCCTTCCATCTTTCAATGCACCATAGCTTTTAACTAAAGTCCTTGCTTTATGCACTACATTACCAGTACCATGCTATAAAATTGTCTCAATTTACATCCTAAATTTTCTTGATAGCCTTTGAATCCTAGCATGATGGCTTGATTATTATTATTATTATTACTATTATTTTAGAGGGGAGGATGGAGTAACCTTATTTGATAATAAGATCAATGAAGCTCAAGAAATAGTCCTTTTTTCTCTCTGACTAAAGATAGTAGTAACTGTCAACAGCTGCAAAGACTGTTGTTTGGAAACAGACAAGCAACTGTTCTGATGCAAGTCCACTTCTGTTGCTAATTTTGCAGAAATTACAAACCAGCCTTTCCAAAATAATGAA